AAAATTTTGATTAGCAAAATAAAAACATTTTTAACCATGATGGAAAAGCAAAAATAAAAAAAAAAAAGAAGAAAAAAGAAAAAGAATAAAGAAAAAAAGGAACAAAGGAAAAAAAAAGGGACAAAGAAAAGAAAAGGCCGTCAAGTATATTTGTTTGTGTATTTAGACTTATGGCGTTTCCAAAATCAGTTATTTTTGCTTTACCATCATGGATAACAATGTTTTTATCATGCTAATCAAAATTTTTTTGAAATTAAAAACTTATTTAAAATATTAGAGATAGTGCTCCGATCAAACTGGTCAACCAGAACTCGACCTGAAAAGCTGGATTTGAGGTTCGGGCTGCCATGAACAAGAAAACTGTGGCAATTATGGTGATGCTAAAATACAACTCATGTTTTGTCTTTTAAACTTACACTTTTTTTAATTCGAACAGAGCGAAAAGAAGTCGAAGGTTGAAATTTCAGTTTTTTAAATCAGGTTCGAGTCAGTTTAAAGCTTTATAGTTCTCATAAATTCTGAGACAAATTAAGAATTTTTTTTTTCTGAAATCTCTTCGTTTTTTCTTATGAATAGTTTAACAATCAGCAGTCTCCAGACCAGAGTTCTGAAAATAGTTTCCAAAGAGTTAGTGCAATTCTTGAAACGAAAATATTTACGGCAAAGGTTTTAGTTCGTCCCAGAATTTGAGAAACGCACCAACCTAAAAGCCCTCAATCTGACTCGATCCTGACTTTTCCGGAGCACTATATTATAGATTAAGACTATCTTACCAAGTCTCTGTGAATAATTTCTTCGTTGTGCATAAAATTTAATCCTTTCGTAATCTGAAAGGCAAGTTCTAGTCTTCTGCTCCAATTCAATGAATGATTATTTGTTTCAAGGTACTTCCGTAAATTCCCATCATTTGCATATTCCATAATAAGATAATATCGAGAATTGATATCATCTATTTATAATATTGTATAACTAATCATTTTAAATATGTTTAAATAAATTGACAAAACAGAAATACCTTTACTGACTCCCAAAAATCGAACGATATTTTCGCAAAGATCTGCTCTAGTTTGCATTGTTAATTCATGAATAAATGCAGCATAGTATATGTTGCTTATGTCCTTCAAGTAGGTCAATGCCTTACAAACGACAAAATTTTGCGACTTTACCCAATAAGCTTTAAATATGAATCCTAAAAAAATAATAACAAGATAAAATAATAATTTTTTATTTATAACATATGTAGCTTATTCAATATACCAAAATAACCTCCATCGATTTTTGAAACATCAATTAGCTCATCCTAATCTATAAACTTTGATTTTTTCCTAATTTCATTTTCTAAATATGAAAGATCCGATTAGTATATATTACTAATACTACTTTAAAGCCAATTAAATTACCAAAATGTTCTTCGTTTATTTCTTCTGTAGGATAACATAAAAGTTCATCTTTGTCGAAATCTACAATTGCCTTTGGGTCACAGAATAAACTAATTTCATTGATATCATGATAGTCGATTGGATCAGATTCATAAAATGTTTCAATATTATTTTTCCATTTAGTCAAAATCTTGCAAATTGTTGAGACCAATGGTCGGTTTGTTGGGTCACTATTCCAACATCTTTTCATAAGGTCTGAATAGCATTGTATTGTGCCTTCACGGATAGTTGGTCGCTTTCCACTTAGTGCAGCCCAATAATCTTCGAAATCTTCATTTTCGGAAATAACAGACTGTCCTGAAGAAATTTGCCACATAAGCAATCCAAAGGAGTAGATATCTGATGCTTTGGTAAATGATCCTCCCTTTAGAACTTCCGGTGCTACATACATAGTATTTCCAACTAATCCTGGTTTTGTTGTTAATGCCTCTTGAACTGACAACGATAATGAAAAGCTACTTATATATGCATTATGTATGTCATATTGTAATATAGTTTTATCATATAAATTACAATGGACAATATCAAGAGAATGAATCAATTGAAGATCATGAGCTATATAGAATAATAAATTTACTTTTTCTATCCATTTCATTTGTGCAATCGAATGAATATTATATTTTAAAGAACCCAATGGCAAGTATTGAATGACTAAACAATAATCACCAGATTCTTCATCTTTCGATATTCCATAGCACTGAAGACATGTAGGATACTTGCACCCAATGCCTTTAGCTTTAAAAATAAAATAAAATTAATAATATTGATCGAAATTACGTGCATAAAGTACTGAGATTATTAAATATTTACCTCTTTCATAAGTTGATCGTGATTATATCTTGATTCATAAATTAGCTTTAAAATAACCTTTTTTGTTCTTGCTCCAGTTTTATGTAAATAAGTCCATTCTGCAGAATACTTGGCAGAAAGTTTGGCCGTTCCAAAAATTTTTTGTTTGTTTTTTAGTTCACTGGGTGAAATCCAAAATAATTGATATTTATTTTCAGACATTGAACTTTCTAAAAATTTAACAAGATCAATATCTAGATTTTCATAATCTACATGTTGACTCTGATTACTTCTTGCTCTTTGTAAAAATTTTGTAGCCTCTTCCATATTTTGACGCGTACCTTTGCCATTCCTAAAGCACAAACCAAGATTAAATTGTCCACTAGGATTGCCACTTCTGGCTGATTTTAAAAACCATCTAAATGCTTTATTCTCGTCTTTATTAATGCCTATTCCATTTTCGTAGCAACGTCCAAGATTATTTTGCCCACTAGAATTACTGCCTTTGGCCGATCTTGAATACCATTCATATGCCTTATTTTCATTTTTGTCAATTCCTATGGCATTTTCAAAACACCAGCCAAGATTATTACACCCACGAAAATCGCCTTCTTTGGCAGCATTTAAATACCATTCATATGCTTTCTCTTCGTCTTTGTCAATACCTATTCCATATTGATAGCACCATCCTATGTTGTTTTGTATTTCAGGACGCACGTCTTTATTAGACTTTAAATGTTGTTCTAATGATTCCTCGTTTTTGGCAATGTCTACATTTGAAAATATGTCCAAAGATTGCCCTTCTCTATCTGATTCCATTTGTACGTATTCAAAAGACAATGAAATAAAACAGCTACACTATGTAAAAAATATTTATTAGAGACACTTACAACGGGAAAAATCTGAAAAGTAAACTTCTATGAAGATAGATTTAGAATTTGTGATACAGTACCGGTACGTGGAAACGTTGTTTAACCAAATAAAAACCTATAAAATTAGGGTAGCCGCGCAAGGGCTTTACTTATTTGTGCCAGTAATACAAACTCCTAAAAAGGAAATAACCAATCAGTGAGTTCGAATTTTGATTGTTCCGGATCAGCCC